TCTGGAAGGGGCCAAACACTGGCCCTGTTCCTCTTCATAATCCCTTCAGGCTCCACGATGGATGGGATCGTATGCAAAGTGCCCCCTTCCCAGCACGTCCGATTCCATTACCAGCCTCGACAGTTAAATCCCATCCCATCTGCCAGAGACTGGACCCCCACGTGTCATAAAGGACCTCCTCTTGGACGCCCTGCCTCAGAACGCACCACCTAGCCACCCAAGCCAGAGACTGGAATACCCGCCATCCTCCTCCTTTAGCCCTCTGAGTTTCTCTAAAAACCTCACCACTGCACCCACTTCACTTCCTCCCATTGCCCACCAGGGGGGTGACTTACCTCCTGGACCTGTCTGGGATTCCCTCGCTTCTCTAGGACCGCCTGCCTGCCCGTGCCACCACCTGGTGAGCTCCGCGGCCAGCCAGGTTCCCTCCAGGGGCGGGCAGCACACTCAACCAGCCCCAGGGCCGCCCTGCCCTCCGGTCATCAGCTGACGTCGCACCTCTGAAACCTCTCAACTGGTCCCAAACTCTGGTGGGGACTGGAGGGCTATTACTTGGACCCAGTGAGCGCCACCCCCCAGAGATTCTGGTTCAGTAGCTCTGGGATGGGACCTGGGAATCGATTCTGAACGTCAGGTTTGAGAGACACCGGTCTGGAGGCCGGAGTAGGAAGCACAGAGCTGTCCCGGTCTCTGAGGCCCCTCTCGGGCCTCTCCCTGCTCAGTCCCTCGCCGGCCCAGGACTGTGTCTATGCCTGGAGATGGGCCTCCAGTCAGGCGCCTGGCACTTAGCTGTCTTTCCTCAGCAGTAACGTAGATCTGGTATCATCCAATACCATATTCATTTACTTTTTGTTTGTTTCTCCCCCTGAACAATAAACTTCATAAGGGTTGTTTTCACTGCTGTATCTCTAGTCTTTAGGATGGAGATGGCATAAGGAATGTATGTTTAATTAGTGACTTGGCAATCCTGAAGAGGGAATCTGTTTCTGTGTCTAAACTTGGGCAAATAGCTCATCCTTGCTCAGGTGGAAAGTGGGACTAGAGTCCCCTCACAAAGTTTTGAGGAGAGTTCTCTTGGTCCATGATGGGCCTTTAATAACTGTAATGGAATTGTACTCCTCTGCTGGGTATCTGCAATGCTAAGCAATGATATTATACTAAAGTAGTAGTGGCTAGCCTTCAACACAAGAGCCCACTGACATCTTGAAGTTTGAAGTGTCAGCTTTTGCAAAACAAACTAGTTTCTTCCTTGAACTAAGGACCTCAGAGCAAGCTATGGTCTGGCAGCATTTACCTGGCTGTCTTTGCCTCCCTAGATGAGGAACTGTCTACGTGCTGGGGAACAGGTATGTTGTGTCTTGGAGTTACTGATCAATTAAAGCTCCGGTAACAGAGAAGTTCCCTTTTCCCTCTTAAGATCGCAGACTATTGCACCCAGGTGGTGATAACTAAGCTGTGGAAATTAACCACACCTTGGCTGTGGTGATTAAGTGGCAGCAATTATAATTGGCCACTAATTCAAACTCCATTGGTCAAGGCTGCAGTGATTCAGCTTCTGAAATACAGACTGCCAGCTGCATTAGTGATTAATTAATAGCCCAAGGTATTCTCAGGCATGGGGCCCTGGAACGTTAGCCTTACATAAGGGTCATTTCTAGGACCTTGGCAGCCAGGCTGCTGGACTTGGAACTGAGGTTCTGATTAAGGCAAGTGGGGGCGGGGGGGGAAAGGGGCAAGAGTCCTGGGCTACCTCGGACACTGGAGTCCTCTGGTCTTGGCTTCACCACCAGCTTGCCAGGTGGCCCACTCACTCCTCAGGGGCCCACCTCTCCTGTCTTGGAGCTCAGGCCACAAGCCCAGGCAGTGCTCCTGATTCTTCTTGTTGCCCCAGCCCTGACACCCAATCCACCAGCTAATGCTGTCGGCCGCAACTCCAAAATATATCCTCAGTTGACCCCTGGGACCCATCTCCACTGCCATCACCTGCCACTGCCACTGTGACCCTTCTTCAACTACCAGCTACCTCACTGGTTTCTTATTTTTCATTTCTGCCCCGCACTGTCTGCCACAAAGCAGCCACAGGGGTAAAGTCACAAGTCTGATTGTGTTCTCCCCCCCAGCTTAGAAACTCTCCAGTGGCTCCCCAACGCACTCACTGGTCTGTAAGACTGGGTGTTAGCTGGTCCCATCCTGCCATCCTCCGCCACTTCACTTGTTACTGATCCTTGCTTCATGCACCAGCGTTTGGCCTGCCAAAAAGCGAAGCTCCTTCCTGCCCCAGGGCTTTTGCGCTTGCTGTTCTAACTGGAAAGCTCCTCCCCCAGAGCTCTGCCTGGCTGGTTCCTTCTCATCAGGCAGTCTTAAATATTAGCCTGAGAGAAGCCATCAACCTCTAAAGTCAGCAGCCCATCCTGTCACTCTGTCCCCATTGCCCCGGTCCTACCACTGTGGTATCTGTGGGTAGATTTGTCTGGCTCTTCCCACCAGAATGTCAGTCCCACAAGGCAAAAACATTTGTTTCGCTCCTCGTGTCTCCCAGTCCCCAGGACAACACTTGGCAATTAGTAATTCATGTCAGCTCACTAACTAACTGAAGCTCCCCTTCTGCCACCTGGGTTCTCTGACGTGCCCACCCTCCCCACTACAAGCAGCACAGAAGACCTTTTCCTGATGCCCACCTCCCGTGGAGGCTCACTCTCTGGTCCAGTACCCTCTGAGTCCTGCTTCCCCAAGGGGATGGGAGAGAATGAGTTTTCTGGGTAAGGCCTCTCTCCTCTCTCGGTGGGGTCATCTTTTACTTAAACGACAAAGTTTTGGCAACATCTGGAATACTCTCTGTTGGATCTGCTCCTCAATGTCACCTCCTCGGAAAAGTCCTCCTTGACCCCATCCACTGCTTTCTAGTCGCTTACCATGCAGTATTTTCTTATCACCATTCAAAACTTGGTTTTTAAATTTGCCCACCTGTTTATTGCATCTTCCCCTCTAAAATATAAGCTCCAAATTCACTGTGCCTCCCTAGCATTGAGGCGGATGTGTAATTATCTGTGTCTGAGTGAAGCATGGGGCACCTGCAGGAATGAACAAATGGATTTCTGCTGGGAGAGGTCCTAACAGGGGAGGAGGGTCACGCTGGATGAGATCAGTGTCCCCCACTGCGGACATGCCCTATGACTAATAATCATATGAACACTGGAAGCTTGCTTATCCACCGCTTCCTGTGAACCAACCTGTTGGGTGCACCCTCCACGTGTGTGGATTTACTGACTCCTCACCACCGCCCGAGGAGGCGTGTGCTGTAGTATCTTGCTTTAATCAAAGAGGACACGGAGGCACAGCGCACGTCGGTGCTCTGGTGCTCTGGGCTGAAGCACTGGTGAGCAGAGAGGTGGGCGGTCGGCTGCAGAGGCTGTGCCCTCGGCCCCGCCCAGGGCGTGGGAATCTCAGCTGCGGGACTGAACAGTCTGCCACACTCCCAAGCCTGCCCATTGCTTTTGGCTTCCACTCCTTTGGGCCCTCCCCCTGAATCTCTGTCCTGGAACAGAGTCAAGTCAGGCCTCGACCTTCCCCAGCCTGCCCAGCAGTGGGCAGCAGGCCCACAGAATTCCCCCGCTGCTCCTGAGGGCTGCTGAGAACCCAGTTGAGCATCCGAGCCTCAGCTTTTGGAAACCAGCGTAACGACCAAGGCCAGAGGAGCTGGACTCTGGGGGTACCGGTCCAGCTCAGAGATCTAAGGGTCTGCCTCCCTCATGGGAGGAACCTTTAAGAGTTCAAAGTCAAATAGACTTGAGAGAGCCCATTGGCCGCCTCTGTCTGCACAGCCATCTGCGATGACCTTGGGAGACAGGAGCCTGCAAGTCACTGTGCACTTGAATCCTGACGTGTGTGACGTGAGGTTACACAAGGGGAGGTCACAGGGATGCTGGTGAAAATTCATACATGCTGGCCCCACACGCAGGAGGTCTGGGGCTCAGGAACCTGGAACAAGCTCCCCGGGTGATTCTGAAGCAAGTGGTTCCTACTCTGAGAAGAAGAGCAGTGGGCGAACAGGCGGGCGCTTCCTGGTCTCAGAAGGTCTGGGCGCACTCGTGCCTGGAGGCAGGGGCATGATCAAGATGAGCCCAGCGCTACCTCTGCGGGGAAGGAAAACCATGGCCCTACTAAGGGCCAGGAGCTTACAGCTGTGATTGCTGATCCTCCCAGTGGTCCTAGGAGGCCCCTATGATGCTGCTCTCTTTTGCACAAGAGGTTAAAAAACTTTCTAAATCACACAGCTGAGAGAGCAGTGGGGCCTGGATTAGAATTCAGGGTTATCTGATGCCAACATTTCTGCTCGTTCCACTGTGGCTGTCTTTCAAAGGCAAATCTGCACTTGGGCGAGTTCGGGGGTTCCGGGACAATCCCAAATGGTCAGTGGCCAATCCTGTCTTCTGTGTGCAGGGCATATGTGGGGCGCACACACACAATGCCAGGCATAGCCCTAGGCCATGGGCCATAGACACACATAAAGGAAACACATCACCCTGTTCTTGGGAAAATCTTGGGGCGGGGAGACCCCACAGATCTCAGGTCTGTCACAGGGGGCAGGAGTGTGCCAAACTCCGGCAAATGCCAGGCAGCCCCAGTGCCCACCCCTGGTACACAACCACATACTTTGGGAGCCCTTGGAGCCCATCTGCCCCTGTGGCCTAGAAAGAGCATGGGCATACCCAAAGTCACCCAGTGTGTTCAAGACAGAGCTGTGCCACACCCACACTTCTGGGCTCCTTTCTCCACCAGCATGTCTTGACAGAGCGACTGGATTTGGTACTTCATTGGCCAGCTCTGTCCTGTGCACCGAGGGATGAGTAGCAGCCCAGGAGCTTGGCACTGAATGCCACTTACACCCCAGGCACTGTGGTAACAACCCCCACCTTCCCCACATTTCCAGATGCACCTCGCTGGGGTGGGGGGCAGTACCTCCTCCATTGCAAGGCGCTGAACCAGCCTCTGTTCTCAGCTTGGCTGCAGCTCCTGATTACAGGAGCCAGGGTGGCGGGCCTGGGGTTGACCTTGTACTTTCAGAAGAGACCAGGATTCCAAACCTTTGAGAAGAGATCATGGTTGATCCCTTTCCTTTGGGGTCTGCCCTCCAATAAAAGGAACCTCGGGCAAAAATGTCAGCCTTTGTTGTCACACAGACTGGGTTTGAATTTTCAGCCAACTACCTAGCAGCTGAATGGCTTCAGGCAAGTTTCTTGATCTCTCTGAGCCTCAGTTTCTTCATCTGCGAAATGCGGACAAGACTACCTTTTCAATCCGGCCTTTGTTGCCATGAAACCGGAAGATGAGCATGATGAACCTGGCCAGCACCTGGGATGCAGCAGGTGTTCACCCCCAGAGGCTAATATTATTCTTTTATGGGACATGGTCACATTTCCTTGACCCTTTGATGCTAATGAGAAGCCAGGCTGTGAGCTGCCTGTTGCTGGGTTGGGGCACACTTCTTGGGCTGTGTTCACACCACTGTTACCCAGTCCACTGTACCACCTTCCCTTGATTGACCAACTTTCCTAATTACACATTGTTATGTGCAATATTACAATATTTATCTCCATTTTCACCATAATGGCTGGAGGGTTGGGGCTTTTAGGATGGACCCCTTTCAAGAGCAGAAGTTGAACTCAGATTGTTTCAGGTGTGAGTCCTGCCTTTTCTCCTTGTGGTTTATTTTAGGGGTCAATTAAGGGCATTAAGTGACAAGCTTACTTGAAGACCAGTGGTCACAGGAGGGGAGGGGCTGCTTCTCCACCTTCCTGGATGGCAACAAGATGAGCCACTCTGGCTCCTGCCACCTGGGGCACCCACTCTTCGTTCCAGCCTCATCAAATCCCTGTAAAGTGAGCTGATTTCTCTCCACGTGTGAGGTACACCAGCAGTTAAAAGTAAACTCTGGGTTCACTCTTTCAGAGTTCAAGCCCTGGCCCCCTCACTTTCTGGCTGTGTGGCCTTGGGCAGGTTATCTCCCTCTCTATGCCGCAGTTTCCTCTTTTGTGAACTGGGAGCAGGAAGAGCATCTACCTTCTAGGGTCACTGTGGGCCTTAGTATAAAGCACTTAGCTCAGGGCCTGCACACAGTAGGCACTCAATGAGTATCAGCTATGATTAGAATTACTCTAAGAGCATCGCACAGGGCTGGGCACACACAGTGGGTGCTCAGTTCCTATGTGCTGAATGGATGAACCAGCCGGTTTTGGTTACTGATAAGATGTATGACTCTTGAGGATGTTGATGGACAGCCCAGCCACCAGGTGACAATGTGGGCATTTCACCAACACCGGAGACCAAAACCGTGAAACTTTGTGGTTCCCTGGGGTGGTAAGTTTGCAATTCAATAAAAAAGACCAGGTCAGACAGTAGAGCCAAGTTTGCAGTAAGGATTGCCGTGTCTCATGTGGTGTGTACCTCCCTGGGTTGCAGAGCCTAGAGTTGATGCTACCTTTGGACTCATGAGTACAGAAGGCAAAAATCATGATTCAGTTTAAGTTTCCTGGGCAGCGATGCAGAGTTCACCATGAGACTCACTTTGCCTTAAATGGAATTTTGAAACTGAAATATAACCCTGGGCTACTTACTTAACCTCCCTAGTTGAATTTCCTCCCCTGTCAGTGGGGGTAATATTACCTATCTTGGCAGTTGACTTGAGGATCATACACTATATGCAATAATTCACAATCTATGTGTAGGACCCAGAAGGGCAACGAGAATAATTTATGAAGATCGCCAACAACAAATAAGCCAGCCCTACTTGAGATGAACAAATTTTTTGCCCCAAATTTGACCAGTGGTTCTCAACCAGTTTTGTCCCCCCGCGGATATTTGGCAATTATGGAGACAATTTTTGGTTGTCACAATTCAGGAAGTACTATTGGTGGATAGAAGCCAGAGATGCTGCTAAACTCCCGCAGTGCTCAGGACGGCCCCACAACACAGAATTATCCTATCCAGTCCCAGATGTCAATAGGGCCAAGGTCGAGAAACCTGGTTTCAAGTTAGCAGCCCAGAATCTGTTTTATCCTCATATAAAAGACTTATTTTTTCAGTGGTGTGGGCAGAGAGCTTAGCAGGTTGTAACTGGATGGGGAGAACAGTATGATGAGCACATGAAAGAATTCCACCTGTTGCCGAGACAGCATCATTTTATGACTATGATCCCAACACTGTTGGTAAGGTCAGCCTTCCAGAGAGTTCTGAGAAGTGTGCAGCCTTTCCTGTTGATTTCCTGGGCTAATTCCATGGCTGGTCATCCACCTCACAGCCAGAGAGAAATCCTGCAGCACAGACGGCCTCCTCCTCTGCTGGGTGTCCCAACCTCATCAACCTCAATAGAAGGAAGAGGGTCTGACCCTCAGGTTTGGACAGACAAGCCTGCTAGTATCTTAGCTTGTTCTTAAAGACAGACCATCCATCCTTCTAGCCATTCATTCATTCTTTCTCCTCTCCATGCATCCACCTGTGCATCCATCCATATCCACCCATTCGTCTCTCCTGCCTCCCCCGCTCCATCCATCCACCCAACATGAAATGCCCAGCATGTGGCCATCAGGGTGGTAGGTGCTGGGACACAATGGAGAACAAACCAAATAAGGGCTCTGCCCTCACAGAGCTTGCGGGGAAGCACTTGGACGACTGGCTCACTATGAAATTGACCTTTTCCTTACAAGATCCTGAACCATGTTCTTTGAACCAAAGATATTTTTTTAAAGGAGCACCTGACTTTTGCTCCTTATTTGTATTTGAAGTTACAGTTCAGAGAGGTTAAGTGACTTGATCAAGGTCATACAAGAGAGTCTCAGAGACAGGCTACGAATCCAGGTTTCCTGAATGGTGACCCCAAAAAGAGTTGTCCACATCCTGGAATCTGGAAATGTTTGGGAAATATTTGGGAAAAAGGTCTTTGCAGATAGAATTTAAGTTAAAGATCTTGAGATGAGGTTACCCTGTACAATGTCCTTAGAGGTGACACAGTGGAGAGGAAAGGGAGGAGAGGAAAGCCACGGGAGGAGGAGGCAGAGGCTGGCATGATGTGGCCACAAGCCAAGGAACGCCAGGGGCCATCAGAAGCTGTTAGAGGAGGAGGTTCTCCCTGCAGCCTCAGAGGGACTATGGCCCTGCTGATGCCTTGTTTTCAGGCTTCTGGCTTCCAGGGCTGTGAGAGACTGTCTGCTGCTTTAAGCCACACCGTTTGTGGTAATTTGTTATGTCAATCCTCGGCAGAATCCCACACCGCAATGTACTGAGCAACCTTCACTGGCTTGCTTAAGCTCTCTGAGAGCCACTTCCTCATCCACAAAATGCGGCAATAAGATCTAACTCATTAATTCCTTCAACAGGTATTTACAGATGTGCTGGGTGCTGAGGGTGAAGGAAAGCAGGTGCGGGTTCTGCCCTCACGGTGCTTATGGGCTGGAGGGGAAGCCAGTCACCAAGCAAAGGACCATGGCCGCGTGGCGCTGGAGGTGGGGGGAACATCCCAGCTGGGAGGCCAGAAGGCTTCCCCGGGGAAGTGGTGACAGAGCGGGGGCGCTGAGGGAAGGTAGAGAGTAACCGGGCAGGAGGAGCATGAAATCCCGCAGCCGGGGGAGGGGCGTGTGCAGAGCCGCCATGGGGCAGGGCCCGCCCCGCCGGGGTCATGGAGCCATGTCGGAAGAGCTGCCCTTTCTCCTGAGTGCAGCAGAGTCACTGCGGGTATGGAACCCGGGGCAGCACGGTCAGATGTGCGTCTGGAAGGGTCATTCAAGTTACAGGCTGGGGAACAAACTGCTGGCAGGAAGACCAGTGAGGAGACCCCAGGAGGGGTCATCTAGGGGTGGGGTGACGGTGGCTCAGACCAGGTTGGTGGGTAGAGACAAGGAAGGGGAAAGATTCAAGAGCTTCTTCATAGGGAAAACCACAGGGCATCGTGAGCAATAAAGGAAATAACGCTAACAAGCACCACACAGTGCTTGGCACGAATGCAGTGCGTGCTGGCTCCCTAGCCACACGGGGTTCCCCTTCCTTCCTTGCACCAAAAAGACCACGGGGGTGGGGGGGTGGTGGGGAGCGACGCCGCAGCAGCACCACCTATCACTGACTTAACCGGCGAAAGTGAAACTGAGTGCCCACAATTTACAGAGCTTAGAAAATCAACTCACCATCCTTGAGTGAGAAGCTCAGAAGGTCCTGGGGAAAAAGTAACAGGAAACAGCAGTCAGTGAGTTGATATGAATCAGCCTGCTCATCACAAATATGTATTGACTCTTACTAAGTGGGAGAACAAGACAGACAAAATATCTCTGCTCTATATTCTAGTGGTGAGCCAGACAAACAAGTAAGCAAATAAATAAAAAAGTGTGTCTGAGAATTTCAGGGAGTGAAATGAAGGAAGGGGCTGTTTTAAATCTACTCACTTGACCCACCAATGGCCTGTGTCACAAGCTGCCTGCTTTAACTGCACACAGAGCAGGTTAGTGACATGCCCAAGGAGACACAGCAAAGATGCTACTTCCAAGGAGAGGCATCACAGCTTAGCACTCAGGAGCACAGGCTCTGAAGTCAGACTGCCAAGGTTCAAATCCTGGCTCAGTCATTTCTCAGTTGTGTGACCTTGAACAGGTTACTTAGCCTTTCTGTGCCTCAGTCTTCTCATCTATAAAGTGGGATGTTCATACTCCCTGCCTCACAAAGTTACTTTGAGCGTTGAGTTAATATCTGTAGAGTTACTAGCACATAAAAAGCACGACTTAAGTATTAAACTCAATCAATAGTAAACATTCAATCATGATAATTCAGTATTAGCTATGATCATCCTATAATATTACAATGAAATATTTTATCTTTCAACTACCCACCCCCACTAGAAGTGATTTTTCAGACTGACTTTGAAAGGAAATGATTTGTCCCAGATGTACCTGAATGATCACTAACGGGTCATCCTTCAGGATGGGGTCCTTCAATAAAATCTGAGCAAACACGTCTGCTCCTTCGCCTCCCAGGCCATTGGCAAAAGCAGTCATAGTTGGCAAGATGGCTTCAGACAAATCCAGCCACTTCACCAGGCTGGCCACAAACCCTGTGCAGAAGGGGCTGAAAGACAGGCATGGCTCAGATCCCAAAGCCTCCTGGAAGGTGCATCTCACAAGGCGGCTGCAAGTTTAGATTAGACGTGCTCCTGAGTGTAAACAGCCGGCACATACCAAAAAACATGGTGACTGTGGTCCATGGAACACAGATGGCCAGAAACCTTATTTCAAGTGACTTGGAATTTCTTCTTCCCCCACAAAAACTTTCACCAACTGGGTGGATAAACCCCAGGAAAGAGTGGTGAGGAGCAGCTACTGCCCATGTGTGTTGGACTGGGGCTGACCTGGGGGCTGAGGAGTCAGAGATGAGCAAGACGTGGCCACTAATGAGAAGCTCACAGTGGGATGGAGACAGGGATGTGGCGCTGCTCCCAGCGCCAAGTTGACAGGCTAGGACATAGGAGTCCAGGGAGGGAGCGCCCAGTCCACCTGAGAAGACAAGGGGCAGTGGAGCAATTTGCTGCTGTTGGAAATCACCATAGACATGCCTTTTGGAAACAAGTCAGCCACTGCAGAAGCGGCTTAAGTGCAGAGGAAGAGGAGTTTGTCCTCCCACCATACCCACTGCCACCATTTGCACTGAGCCCCCAGGAGTCCCTCGGAGGGGGATGGATGGGGCATTCTGGGAAGATGGAACCCCATGAGCTGCAGGAACCACATGGCATTTCAGGGGCTGCGGCGGAGTCCACATCAGGCTTTGGTTCAAAGCGACCACTCATGGCTGTGAAAACGGTGAGTTGGATCAGGGGTAGGCAGGGCATGTGGAGTCAGGGGAGGCAATCAGGAGGTGATTATACCAGTTCAGAGAAAAGGCTGAGACCTAGAAGGTAGGTCTGTCTCCAAACCATGTCCCAGCCTGCTTCAGCGGCACCGCCCTGGGGCTCTGCACACTGGATTCTGCACCCTGGGTTCTGACCAGGTCAGGGTGGAATCAGGCCTCCTCCCAGGAACAAGCAGAGCTCCCTGGTGGTGGTGTCAGCCTCAGAGGCTACCCCCTTGCACCACCCTACCCAGCCCCCATGGATCCCAGACAGCCCACCCCTCCCATTTCTCAGAGTTGCAGCAGTGGAAGTCCAAGAGGAGAGGTCACTGCAGGCTGAGGCCCTGACGGGAGCAGCGAAAAGCTCAGGCTAAAATCCTGGCCCACCACTACTGTGGTTCAGGTCCCCAGGAAGCAGCTCTGAAATGAGATTATTAGGGATCTTTGGGATCAATGCCCATGGGAGGTGAGCAGGACGCAGCACTGGCTGGGGGAGCCGTTAAGCTGCCATGCAGTCTCAACAGAAGCCTCAGCCCATCCCACAGGGAGCTCTGAAGGTGGGCTGACCCTTTGGAGCTGCCCCCAGTGGGGCGAGAGGGCTGGCGCTTACACCCCACATCAGGTGATCACTGGATGCGGGCGGCCCGGGAGGGGGCAGAACCTTGGCAAGACGGCTCTCTGCAGCCAGGGCAGGCCCGGGCCACTGACAGCCTCTCAGCAGCTGGGGGAAAAGGCCTTCATTCGTGAATAGATGTCTGAGTGGTGCAGCACCTTGTGGAAGTAAACTGAGCTTTCTGTGCCTGTTTCCTTACCTGCAAATGGGTTTAAGGGACCAACTTCATTAAGTTGTTTGAGGATGAAATAAAGCACCCAGAGCAGGGCTTGACAAGCAGGAGATGCTCAACTAATGTCAGCAAGCATCACTATTCTTATTTATAAGGTGACCAAGGGAGGCAGGAGGGAATAGGGCTCAGAGTCAGCTCTGAAGTCTGACCCCCTGTGGGAATCCTGGCTCTCTCAGTGACTCTTACTTCACTTCTCTTAGCTTCAATTTCCTCTGCTATAAAATGCAGATGATAACAGGATGTGCTTGTTAGATTGGATGGGAAGATTAAATGACATGGTAATGGTGCCTGGCATCTGATAACCCTCAATAAATGTTAGCTACTGCTATTGCAATTATCATAATTTACTCCACTGCAATTTACTGGGGTTGCCTGAGGCGGTATGTGGGTGTGTGTGGAGGCAGCGGATGACTAAGTGAATTGACCACTACTTAGGGGTAAATTTCTATGCTGAGGGCAGCAGGATGGTCTAGCCCTGTGTCCATGAAGAAAGTCTTGGATGTAGAGAAGCATCTCATACTAAGAGTGGGAAGATAAAGAGCACAAACTATGGTTCAAATTCCAGTTCTGCCACTAGCTGTGTGATCTTGGACAAGTTACTTAACCTCTCTGTGCCAGTTTCTTGATATGTAAAATAGTGGCAATAAGGATGAAACCCATGTTAACATTTGCCACTTGCTTTGAACAATACCTGCCACTGAATGTGCATTTCTTTAAAAGAACAAATGAATTAATAAACACATACGTAAAATGTGTTTATTATGCCAGTACAGCAATCTATTAAATAGCTAATGGTATTTTAGATTGGCAGGGCTTCAGTAATTGCTTCTAATGTTGAAATACATGAAAATCAATGGTAACCATGAAAACCCAAGACAATCACAGAGCAATGCTCCATCATTTTGGGAAAAAATAAAGGCACCTGCCACTTTTTTCAGTAATCTAAGATTACTAATCTAAAGATTATTAAAGCCAACAGCACAGGCTAGGCTATAAACAAACTGACTGACTTCTCACCATAATCCTATGAGGAGGAGGTACTATTTCTACCCCTTTTATAGAAATAAGGAAACCCAGACCTGGAAAAGTTCAGTGACAACTCAATCCTGTATCTTTCCAACTCCAGGAGCCTTGCTCAGTGCCTGCAGAGACCACCCCTCTCCAGTGGTGGCCATCCTGGGCACTCACCAAGTGCCAGGCACCAGCTAAGCACGTGCATTAACCATCCCAGCTTCAGCCTTACTGCAGCTTGCAGGAGGGCACCTGGACTGCTGAGGCTAACTGCCTTACCAGGGTCTCAACCTGGGAGGGGGCGGAGCCTCACCTGGAATCCAGGGTTCTGGAGTCCAAAGCTCCTCCTGCTCACCAGGGGCCAGCAAACTCCCCAAGTGGAACAAACCCGGCCTGCAGCCTGTGTTTGTAAATGAAGTTTTATTGGAACACAGCCACCCCCTTCCTTTACATATTGTCTCTGGCTGCTTTTAGACTTCAGTAGCAAAGCATCACTGGGACAGAGACTACAATGGCCCAGAAAGCCCAGAATGCCTGGCCCTTAACAGAAAAGTTTGCCAAGTCCTGATCTATTCCATTAATTTCTACATGTTTAATACATAGAGCTAACCGTAGGGAACAGCGTCTGTGATGTTTACAGCATGGATAAGAAATACATATTTTAAAGTTTTGCTTTTATGTCCCATGTGGGCAAAAACTGCCACAAAGTGTTTTCTAAAGATAACTAAAACCAACAGCATAGCTGGGCCTTAAATGATCAAAATTGTGTTTAGAATGTGCTTTGAGCCTAAGGAAATGGAGATTAACCACACAGAAAGAGTTGACATTCTAAATCAAAGACTTTCAGAAGGAAATGCCCACAGCAAATGCTTCTGCCTGGCAAGATCCAGGTGAGTCTAGAACAACACTTGGGTTGGGAGGGGTGGGACGGCAATACCTCATCTCTCTATGAGCCCTCCCGTGTGCTGCCCCGCAGCTCAGTCCAGGTTTGTAAGTATTTATGTGAACCAAGGACACAAAGCTCTTTGCCTATGTATTGGCTTCCCAGATACAGCACAAGTATGGGCCAGAGCAGGGTGAGTTAGACCCTTGTAGGAAATGGGACCGTGGCTTGCTGGGAACAGAAAATCCAATGAGATAGAGTCTAACCTCCAGATGGAGTGTGTGGTTTCATTACTAATAATGAGAACAACCAACATTTGTGTGGAGTAGCTCTGTGCCAGGCTCAGCGGGGGCCATCGCATTCCCTCCCCAGGACCACCCTCTGATGGATGCTATTCCTCCACAGCAGTAATTATCCAGCCCCTTCTTCCTGGACTAGCTGAAACCTCCCCTCCCATGATGGAGGTTGAAAATGGCAGTACCTTTATTTTTTTCCTAGCCTCCCTTATAGGTGAGGGTAGGGCATGTGATTGGATCTAGCCAATGACACAAAAGGGAAGCCTTTTCAGGGTATTTCAGGAGAGATTTCCTCTCTGATGAGAGACTTGAAGAGAATCCCCGTCCGACTCTTTCCTGCCTTGGGTCTTACTATGTGAGGGGGTGATGTATGGTGCTGTAGCAGTCAGGAGGGAAAGTCTAAGAAAACTGTAGAGAAGTCAACCTAAAGGCTTCCAATAATCTCCTATTGTTTCAATCTTGCTTAGTACAGTGTCCTGTTATTTCCAGCCCAAAATGGTAGGGGTAAGTTCCAGTATTACCTCCATTTTACAGGAAACTAGGGCAAATAAAATAAGTCACAGAATTTACAAAAGCAACCACTACCATTTATTGAGTATTGAATATGTGCTAGCCTCTGTGCTATGTGTTTCACCTACATTATCTCATTTAATTCTTATAATCACAGTCTTGCAGGGTGGGTATCATTAGCCCCATTCTACAGATGAAGAGCCTGTTGCTTAGGGAGGCCTAAGGTAACATGTAACTGGAAAGTGGCAGAAGTGGGATCTGAACCCAGATTTTGAACCAGTCCAAAGTGGTGGAATGTCTCCTGTGCTAATAAAGCCAGCATTTATCTACCCCTTCTTTTCACAAACCTTTCCCAGGTGTCTTTGCTACACCAAGCTGCGGCAAGACACTGGAGATTCAGAGCTGCACAAGGCAGCTCCGGCCCTCCAGAAGCTCACGCCGGAAGGCTGGTGGGTGTGGGGAGAACCTCACTGCAGTGTGGTGGTTGCAATAATAGGTCATTGGGCAAACGGTGGAGAGACACCCTGGTCTGGGTGCCAGGGAGGGTCATGGACAGCATCCTGGAGGTGCCCCTCAATAGGGATGAATATGCTCAAGTGTTCAGTGCAGTGGGAGAGACAAAGATAAAAAACAAAACAAACCCCCAGCTAAGGCCCAAGGCGTGGGGAAGTTTACTCATGCAGGATCGAGATGGGGGGTTTCAAACAATTCAGATGCAAAATCTTCTTGTCCTCTCCTGTACCCCAGCCTGTCACTCCCTGTCTCAGTAACAATATCTCTGTCCTCCTAGGCCCTTCTCCCACTTGGACCTTTTGGCCATAGTTAGTTCCTCCCTCTTCCTCACCTATAACATCCAACCTGTGCCCAAGTCACCTGTGTCCCCTTCACCTCTTGGTCACTTTCCTGGTTTTCCCAGACAACTCCATCAGCCTCCTAACTGGTCTCCTTCTGCCTCTAAACTCTCCCCCCAACCCCTGGAATCCTTGAAGACTGAAGCCCCAGCTCTTAACAACTCTTCTGTTCCGACTCCTAATGTACGATTTAAACACACGCATGCTGGATACCGGCCACGGCACACAGCACTGAGGTCATTACGCCGTCATTCTTTTGCTCCCATAACATCTGGCTTATATTCATCATGGCGCTGACCCCGTCTGTCCAGTATCATGGTCAGTCACTTGGGCACTTCCCCTCAACTGTAAGCAGTTGGAAGACAGGAGCCAAACCTTGCTTGTTTCTTCCACAGGGCCTTGCACTACACCCAGCACATAGTAGGTGCTCCACAAATGTGTGTTGTGTGAATGAATAGATATCTGATCCTTCTATTAAGCTGTGTCCTACTTGAGGGCAGAGGATCACATCTGTCTTGTTCATCTTATTTGTGTGTACCTTCCATGTACTTCAGATTGTGCCTGGCACACAGTAGGTGCTCAGAAAATGCTTGGTGAAGGCATAAATGTATGAGTACCGAATGAGGGATGTCTCATTCCCTTTCAGGTTGTGAGCTCCTCAAAGGCAGGGGCAACGACTTTTTCCTCTTCGTAGTGTCTGGTAGTGCCTGGTAGGCTGCAAGGCTGTCAATAATTGTCTCCCTGAAGAAACATGACCTTCCCTCTGTAAGACTAAAGCGCTTACCTTTGCTCAGGTTCTGGAAATAGCTGGGACAGGGAGATGCCACAGAGGGCGGCGTAGGCAAAGCGGTTGGCTTCAGCCAGTTCTCGGCCTGTGGGCAGATGTGGCTCCCCCTCCACGCCTGGCTCGGCTGCCTGAGGCAGCCTCTGGCTTGATCTGTCCCATGTGGCCATATCCGGCCCTGCAAGAAAAAATCCCGGTCAGTGTGAAGTGCATTCAAGGGTAGGTGAAAGTTAGTTAAATGGGACATAATAACTACTGATTATTTTAAAAAGTTTGATAAGTTAGCTTTCATTAAAATTAAGAACTTCTATTCATCACCTTTAAGATAGTGAAAACATGCACCACAGACTAGGGGAGATATTTTCAGTATGCATATCAACAAAGGATTTGTATCCTTACTATATAAACAACATAGTATATATATTAAGAAAAGGAAATGAGGCAAATTAAAAAATGACAAAAGATTTGAATAGGTACTTCATAAAGATATCCAACAGCCAATAAGCACATGAAAAGGTGTTCAACGTCATTAGTCATCAGAGAAATAGAAATTAAAACCCCAATTACACACCGATAAGAATGGCTAAAATCAAAACACAGACAATACCAAGTGTTGATGAGGACTCCAGATACTACTGGAGGAAGTATAAATTAGTCAACAGACAAATGGAAATTGAAACTCCAATGAGATACTACCATTCACCTATCAAAATGGTTAAAACTAAAAAGACTGACAATACTACACTGAAAGCAAATACGGACTTTCATACACTGCTGGTGGGAGTGTCAATTGGCACAACCATTTAGAAAATGGTTTGACATTATCCATTAAAGCTAAATATATGTTTTCCCTAGAATTCCATTCCACAGAAATGAGGGCTTGTGTCCACCAAAAGACATGTACATGAGTTCATAGAAGCTTCATTTGTAATAGTTCCAGAATGGAAACAACCCACATGTTCACCCACAGCAGAGTCAATAAACTAAGCCATAGCCATACCATGGACTATTACAAAGCAACGAAAAAGAATGAAGTCTAGCTAACCACAACAACATGAGTGATTTTCACTAACAAAACAATAAACAGACGGCCATTCACAAGAGAGCACATATTGTAGGACTGTGTTCACCTCAACCTGAAGAACAGGTCAAACCAATCTAAGGTGATAAAGTGAGAGGAGAGGCTGCCCATGGGAGGGAGTGAGTATTGGCTCAGAAGGGGCCCAGGGAGCCTTCTGGGTGATGCTAATGTTCTCTCTTGACTCAGTGGTGATTACATGGGTGTAAATACATTTAAAAATTCACTGAGATGTATACTTAAGGTTTGTACACTCCAGTTGTGTTATACTTCAAAGAAAGGAAGAAAATAAGAAAGGGAGGGAAAGAGGTCTTTCTTCCTTCCCAGGGACAGAAGGGAAAGAGGGGAGGGCAAAATATGGGGAGGGGCAAGCCAAGCTACGTCACGCATCCAAGGGACAGGAAGGGCCCTGGGAGCAGGTGCTGGGAAGGGTACCAGCCTTGTCCACAGGCTCAGGGTGTGAATCCACACACTGACACCTAAAAGATAGGGACCTTGGGTAACCCAATCTCTCTGCACTTAGATTTTGTTACCTAACGGTATCTGGTATCTGCCTGGAAGACCTCTAACTATGGGGGAGAGGGGATGTGCTTAGTGCACAAAAACTCAGCTCAAGTCAAATTCATTCATTTGTTCAACAAAATACACTCTCGATGCTCTATAATCCATTCTCTACGCAGAAGCCAAAGTGGCCTTGCTGTCATATACAGCAATCACCCACTCACCTGCTTAGAAGCTTCCATTGCCAAGGACAACTACTAAAATCCCCTTATGATGGCCTACAAAGTCCTGCATGATCTGGCCCCTCCCTGCCTCAAACTTCACCTCATGTCCCCACACCTGCCTTGCTCACTGCACTAAGGATGCACAAGCTGTCTTTCTGCTTGTAAAACTATAAAGCTGGTCCCACCTCTGGGCCTTTGCACCTGCCATTCCCTGTGCCTGGGACACTCTTCCCCTGACATCATTCTGGCCTCAGCCTGAATGTCACCTCCTCTGAGCAGCCTTCCCTGACCTGCAGGCAAAAGTACTTCTGCCCCTCTATCCCAGCACCCTGTTCGATTTTTACAATACTTATTCCTATCTTAAATGATATATTTTGAAGTTATTTGCTTACAAATAATACACATAGAATGTAAGCTTCCTAAGGCAGGCCATTGGTTGTTTTTTATTGCTGGACTCCTAGCTTTCTGAGCAGGCCCTGGGATAACATAGGCATTCAATAACTACTTGCTGGTTGAATGAGGAAGGGTGTATGATGTGTGGTGCCCTGTTCTGGATCTTGGGACAGATAAGGGGACAAAACCAACAAATTCCCTGCTCTCCGGGAGCTGACATTGTGGTGGGAGACAGGCAATCAATACATAATGATGACAACAATTTAAGCAACATACCCAAGATCACATGCCTATAAGTGCTGGAACCAAGCTTCACACGCAGGTGGTCTGGTTGTAGGATCTATGCCCTTAACAATGTGTTCCGGAAGTGATCATTGGGGAAGAACAATGAGGGTGAAGGGTATGAAGTGATGGGGTAGGGGTGGGAGACAACAGTGTGCAGATGAAAGGTGCCATTCCTGAAGGAAGTAAGGGGACAGCCCTGAGAAGGATGGGAGAGGGTGTCCCATAGAGAACCCATGTGGTAGTGATAGACAAGTACACAGATGATAACCAACCAGCAGGACAGATGGTGTGACAGGGGCAACCCAGATAGAGTGGGAAGAGGGTGTTTTGGGCAGAGGGAATGGCACATGTCGAGGACAGAGGTGGAAGAGAGAAGATACTTTTAAGAACCAAAGAGCTGCTCAGTGTAGCCAGGGTTTGGACAGTGGTGGGCACGGAAGGGCGGGAGGGAAGAAATGAGGTTGGAGGGGAAGCTGCCAGGGCCATACCATGCAGGACCCGGGCTCCTCCAGCTATGGAGTCAGGCTGACTTGTAAGGGTGGTGGCCATGCAGGGAGCTGAATGAGGTACATGGGGCCTCTCAGAACTATTTTTGCAACTGCTTGTGAGTCTGTAATTATTCTAAAAAGTTAAAAATTAAAAAAAGCAGTGGGATGGATGTCTCTATAGAATTTTAAAGACCTTTTCATAAGGTCTAAGTAAATTAAAAATAAATGTTCACCTCACCCAAAATTAACAAGGTAGTTAATTTAATAAACATCTATTGGCACCTACATGCTGGGGACACAGTGGGGACAAAGACAGGCAACGATCCTGGATCATGGAGGTATATTCCAGTGGGGGAGACGGACACATGTAAGCTTAAAATATTTAAAATGAGAGGATTTTAAATAATGAGGAGGGTGCTGAAGAAAAAGAAACCCTAAATAATACGTACCCAGATTTCAGAAAACAACCGTGGGCCTTCTCTTTTCTCTTAAGTCTGAAAACAGGCTGTTCAGCTTCTTTGGAGAAATATGCAAATTGTCCCGAGGAAATAAACCAGAAAAACCAGCCTGTGGGTCCATAGGGCGTGGGTCTGGAGGAGGCCTGCGGGAGAGAGAGAGAGAGAGAGGGACCTGGTTAGCGGGCAGCCTGAGGGGTGCCCTGTGACTGCTGCCCCTCCTCTGGCCTCTCGGGTTCCTCGCCCTGGGCCACCTTTCTCAGCAGGTGGCATGCAGCCACCCTCACTGATGAGGGCCCTGGCACTGTGCATGGATTGTCTCGTTTAATATCCCATTTCTAACTCCTCATCCCCTCAGCTCTGGTTACTGTGACAGCTCCTTGGGTAGCCTGGCAGTGGATGGCAGGCCCCTGATCGCCGAATCTGTATCCCGGGGCCCAACCACTTACCAGCCATAGTGTGAGTGTGCTCACAGAATGCCTGTTACATGAATGAGTGAATAAATAGCTTTCAGGCTTAAGCAAGAGCTAGATTTTCCTGGTTACTCTCTCCCTAAAGGCACTCCGATTCCTACATTCTGATGGAGGGAGCATCAGGTGAGGAAAGGAGATAGAACAAGGGCCAAGCATTTGGAATTACCCAGTGATGTCTCAGGCCCCTAAATCCAGGGTCTCCCACAACTTCAAGTAATCTGAGCTTCATCCTAATGGCCTTTTCCATGCCATGGAACTAGAGTATTCTTTTCTGCCACTTTAACCTTCAGTAGGGTATTTAATAAATGATCACTGATAATGCCCTTCTCCTGAATATCAACTTCCTATGGGGCAGGAGATTGTGTCTGTACCATGCCTGCATCTGTAAACCATCTGGTAAAAACCAGCAGAGAAGACAAAATAGCTGGAAGAATATCCTCCCAAATTCTCTCTGAAAAGTGAGATACCAGAGACTTGCCCCAGTGTCTGCCATAAACATGTATTGCTTTTGAACTCTGGAGAAAGTTATCTTGTTTATGTCTCTCTATCTCTACCTATGTCTCTCTATCTATATCTTGTTATGTCTCTTATCTATAGAGAGGAGACTGTTAAGACTTGGAACACGATGGCGACAGTGGCTGTCTCTAAGTGGGAGAGAGGATTGAATTCTGGATGACTTTTTTTTTCTTCTTGTTTACATTGTGTGAATTTTCAGTAATGAGTACGTGCTGATTTTAGGATCAGAAAAAAACAGATATGATTTTAAATTATAATATAGTGTACTGATGCAGGCTCATACTGGCTGGTGAGAACAGATTCTACAAGTCTATTCCCAATTCTGCATTCAGTTTTGCGGGCAGCCTGAAATGGGCCACAGTGGGAGTATTTACACTACAGAAATTGGCAAGTGCTATAAAAGAGGGATTTTATTTTCCAGAGAGGTGGTAAACAGCATACCACTGGATAGACAACACGATTCCAGCTGTGTTTTCAAAAAATGTTTCAGATAGCAGCAAGATCAGGAAATACATCAGAATGTTAATGATCACTGGCTCTCAGTGCTACAGGACTAGAAGGAATCAGTTTTAGTTCTGTTGTTTGGGGCTTTTAACATTTTCTGTGATGAGCTCATTAGTGTTTTTAGAATGAAAATAATTTTTAAATTAAAAACAGTATTTCTGCTCTTGTTCTCTAGAAGAGGAGTGTTTTGTCTCAGAAAGCCCTGACCTGGTGTGGCCTAGCCAAGGCATTGCAGCTGAGGTTATAGTTAAGTCCCACTCCTTTGACCAACAGGGCTTATAGTCAACAAAATGGACAAAGGGTGGCATGGCGCCCAGAGGCAGTTCTCAGTACCCATGGAGGAATCATGGCTCCAGCGCTATGGGTTGTCGAGTCAGAAGGGGCGGCCCCGAACTATTCAGGTGGAAGGAGGGTGGTGGCAGCGGTCAGGTGGGGGGATGTGCCTGTCTGAACTATGTGTACTGGTCCTCGGGGGCCTCCACCCCTTGGTCCAATTTGGGATCAGGATCCAGTCCGAAGTTGAACTGAGATTCTCAAGTGTGTCTGAGAACCTAAGCTGCCTCCAAGATAGAATGCTGGATTCCTGTGGTGAGAAACAGACCCTACTGGTTAGGGCACCAGCGCTGTGGGCCCTGGGGCTCCCTAATGTGCCAAACCGGTCCAGCAGCCTGCAGGCTCAGGAGGTCATTACGATCCTGGATCATGGAGGTATATTCCAGTGGGGGAGACGGACACATGTAAGCTTAAAATATTTAAAATGAGAGGATTTTAAATAATGAGGAGGGTGCTGAAGAAAAAGAAACCCTAAATAATACGTACCCAGATTTCAGAAAACAACCGTGGGCCTTCTCTTTTCTCTTAAATCTGAAAACAGGCTGTTCAGCTTCTTTGGAGAAATATGCAAATTGTCCCGAGGAAATAAACCAGAAAAACCAGCCTGTGGGTCCATAGGGCGTGGGTCTGGAGGAGGCCTGCGGGAGAGAGAGAGAGAGAGAGGGACCTGGTTAGCGGGCAGCCTGAGGGGTGCCCTGTGACTGCTGCCCCTCCTCTGGCCTCTCGGGTTCCTCGCCCTGGGCCACCTTTCTCAGCAGGTGGCATGCAGCCACCCTCACTGATGAGGGCCCTGGCACTGTGCATGGATTGTCTCGTTTAATATCCCATTTCTAACTCCTCATCCCCTCAGCTCTGGTTACTGTGACAGCTCCTTGGGTAGCCTGGCAGTGGATGGCAGGCCCCTGATCGCCGAATCTGTATCCAGGGGCCCAACCACTTACCAGCCATAGTGTGAGTGTGCTCACAGAATGCCTGTTACATGAATGAGTGAATAAATAGCTTTCAGGCTTAAGCAAGAGCTAGATTTTCCTGGTTACTCTCTCCCTAAAGGCACTCTGATTCCTACATTCTGATGGAGGGAGCATCAGGTGAGGAAAGGAGATAGAACAAGGGCCAAGCATTTGGAATTACCCAGTGATGTCTCAGGCCCCTAAATCCAGGGTCTCCCACAACTTCAAGTAATCTGAGCTTCATCCTAATGGCCTTTTCCATGCCATGGAACTAGAGTATTCTTTTCTGCCACTTTAACCTTCAGTAGGGTATTTAATAAATGATCACTGATAATGCCCTTCTCCTGAATATCAACTTCCTATGGGGCAGGAGATTGTGTCTGTACCATGCCTGCATCTGTAAACCATCTGGTAAAAACCAGCAGAGAAGACAAAATAGCTGGAAGAATATCCTCCCAAATTCTCTCTGAAAAGTGAGATACCAGAGACTTGCCCCAGTGTCTGCCATAAACATGTATTGCTTTTGAACTCTGGAGAAAGTTATCTTGTTTATGTCTCTCTATCTCTACCTATGTCTCTCTATCTATATCTTGTTATGTCTCTTATCTATAGAGAGGAGACTGTTAAGACTTGGAACACAATGGCGACAGTGGCTGTCTCTAAGTGGGAGAGAGGATTGAATTCTGGATGACTTTTTTTTTCTTCTTGTTTACATTGTGTGAATTTTCAGTAATGAGTACGTGCTGATTTTAGGATCAGAAAAAAACAGATATGATTTTAAATTATAATATAGTGTACTGATGCAGGCTCATACTGGCTGGTGAGAACAGATTCTACAAGTCTATTCCCAATTCTGCATTCAGTTTTGCGGGCAGCCTGAAATGGGCCACAGTGGGAGTATTTACACTACAGAAATTGGCAAGTGCTATAAAAGAGGGATTTTATTTTCCAGAGAGGTGGTAAACAGCATACCACTGGATAGACAACACGATTCCAGCTGTGTTTTCAAAAAATGTTTCAGATAGCAGCAAGATCAGGAAATACATCAGAATGTTAATGACCACTGGCTCTCAGTGCTACAGGACTAGAAGGAATCAGTTTTAGTTCTGTTGTTTGGGGCTTTTAACATTTTCTGTGATGAGCTCATTAGTGTTTTTAGAATGAAAATAATTTTTAAATTAAAAACAGTATTTCTGCTCTTGTTCTCTAGAAGAGGAGTGTTTTGTCTCAGAAAGCCCTGACCTGGTGTGGCCTAGCCAAGGCATTGCAGCTGAGGTTATAGTTAAGTCCCACTCCTTTGACCAACAGGGCTTATAGTCAACAAAATGGACAAAGGGTGGCATGGCGCCCAGAGGCAGTTCTCAGTACCCATGACAGTGAGACGGAGGAATCATGGCTCCAGCGCTATGGGTTGTCGAGTCAGAAGGGGCGGCCCCGAACTATTCAGGTGGAAGGAGGGTGGTGGCAGCGGTCAGGTGGGGGGATGTGCCTGTCTGAACTATGTGTACTGGTCCTCGGGGGCCTCCACCCCTTGGTCCAATTTGGGATCAGGATCCAGTCCGAAGTTGAACTGAGATTCTCAAGTGTGTCTGAGAACCTAAGCTGCCTCCAAGACAGAATGCTGGATTCCTGTGGTGAGAAACAGACCCTACTGGTTAGGGCACCAGCGCTGTGGGCCCTGGGGCTCCCTAATGTGCCAAACCGGTCCAGCAGCCTGCAGGCTCAGGAGGTCATGGGTGGAGGGAGTAGCTTCCAGCTCTCAGGGGTCTCCTGGGGGTCTCATTCCTGTCCAGGCACTGTGACGACACCAAGCAACTCTGAGAAAGGCCTGCACTTGACCCTGAAGAGCACCGACTCCCAGGGAAAGAACATATTCATAGTGAGAATACACAGGGTGGACACTTACCCATGGCTGGACTGCAAAGCCCAGACCTGGGATGGACGGGATTGTTCGGGAATGAGACCTTGCTTTAATGCTCTATGATTATGAGCTTTGTCTAGCTAAATCCAGTATCTGTCACTGAAGAGAATGCTGGTTGAGTTATTTTTGTCAGTAGTAGGGTTAGAGCCATTCCACAAACATCTGTCCTCAGCTCTTTAAGACACTGTGATCAACTAATATTCATGGACTAACGCCATAAGTACCATGGTGGGATTTCTTCCCGGACAAATGAAAAATTCCCAAGTCAACCCCATGGAGAAAATAAAATGTGGTCAATATCATCCTTGAAAATCTTTTATATCATTCTTAAAACTCTATGACCTAGCCTTTGGAAGATCACATGCTAGAAAGGCTTTTGTTTTTCTTAGATGCCAGCCGGGTGTGGCCTTCTTTTCCCTTGGAGCAGTCAGTGACGGCCAAGGTCCAATTTGATGTGACTGTATATGAATA